TTATCATCAATAATTTATCGTAATCTTCAGATCTTCTCTAAATTAGTGTGTAGTTTTTATGACTATTTATTCTAGCTACTTACCCTACCCAGTTAGCAAATTCCATAGTATTTGGTACCGTAGCACTCAATAATATAACATTACAATGTTGTGGTAACATAATTAGTACCTCTTCCCATACAACACCTCTCTATAAAAACAAAATACAGAAGAACAATAAACTATTTTTAGTGCCTTCAAACAATTAAAGTATCTTTGAAGGACAAGCTAGAAGAGGTATATCTAAGTATTTGAGCTGACCTTGAGCTAAATAAACATTTCAAGTTGGCAAATATTCAGAATTTTCATAAGAATTAGGTCCTAAGAATAAGAGTTTTTTTGTATACTTAAATAATATAAATTTTTAACACCAAATGAGTTATTGCACCTCAATTTCATTTTTGAATGAGATAAAATAAAAATGTGATGATACCTCAGAATCATTTATGTAATGTACTTCGTCAAAAACAACCCATTCCAAATCTCTTATAATATCACTACCATTATATAACATAGATCTATAATAAAATATATACTCTTATAGTATCACTACCATTATATAACATAGATCTATAATAAAATATATACTCTTATAGTATCACTACCATTATATAACATAGATCTATAATAAAATATATACTCTTATAGTATCACTACCATTATATAACATAGATCTATAATAAAATATATACTCTTATAGTTCACTACCATTATATAACATAGATCTATAATAAAATATATACTCTTATAGTATCACTACCATTATATAACATAGATCTATAATAAAATATATACTCTTATAGTATCACTACCATTATATAACATAGATCTATAATAAAATATATACTCTATAGTATCACTACCATTATATAACATAGATCTATAATAAAATATATACTCTTATAATATCACTACCATTATATAACATAGATCTATAATAAAATATATACTCTTATAGTATCACTACCATTATATAACATAGATCTATAATAAAATATAAATTCTTATAGTATCACTACCATTATATAACATAGATCTATAATAAAATATATACTCTTATGATATCACTACCATTATATAACATAGATCTATAATAAAATATAAAAAAGTTCTAATATCTTATATAAACACTGTAATATCCAACAGGTTTATTGTAGATTACAGGGAGAATTCTTATAGCTTCTAACTATGCTTTAACTATCTTTATAATTTTGACAAATAAAACAATTTACCTGAGAATTTCTGTAGTCATAATAAGACATGAAGCTGTTTGATTTAACTGAACATCACCAGTTACTAAACCAACATCAGTAAATGTCTGTTTAAAATCTCGAAATTTTTGGTTAGATAAAGCTTTTATTGGTGATGTATAGATTGTCCTATAATATTTCATGAATTTTAATTAATAAATCACAATTAATCTTGTACTCCATTTTTGATTTACAGGCTTTGAAAATACCAATATATATAGAAAACTTATCAATTCACTTAAATTAAGATGTGAAACAAAGATAATTCAAATATGATAAACTTTGTAAATGACTAGTATGTAATACATAAAATATGGTTGGTATTTTCTATGAAGAATTGTAAACAGAGAAAAAAATCAAGTATCTTTGATATAAAAAAAAATTATATTCATTCAATAACTCACTTAGTCATATGTTTTAATGAAAGAGCTATGGCATATTCAGCTATGACTGTTTTCCCTGCTGACGTATGAGCAGCAACAAATACACTGTCTTTATTCTCTAAATGTAAAATAGCCTGTTTTTGAAAGATATCTGGTTCAAATGGCCACTGAAATACAAGAATCATAATGTCAATATATTATCATCTCATGTAAACATCTTGTAGGAACAGATAAATATTGTATTTGTTTACCTAAATTCCTAATAAATACCTAAATAAAGTACTTCAATAACTGTGTCTGATTGTACTAGAAAAGAATTGTTGCTCATCTTTTTGTAACATTCTTTATTTCTATGCCTTTTCAAGGTA